CTTATTCTTGAGTGGTTCCAATTCAGCCCTCAACTCTTCATCATGCACAACCACCCTTGTTCATGCACAACCAGGGGAGGAGCAGACCACCACCACCACCACCACCAACAACAACAACAACCAGGGTAGGAGAGGAAGAGCAGACCAGCAGCAACAACAACCAGGGATGAGGGGACGAGCAGACCAGCAGCAGCAACCAGGGGAGGAGGGGAGGAGCAGACCAGCAACAGCAGCAACCAGGGGAGGAGCAGCAAGCCAGCAACCAGGGGCGGCGGCGGCTGCCAAGGAGAGGGTTGGGTTGGCGGGGGGGAACAGGTTCGATCTAGGTTTCCACGGGGGATAGTTCGATACAGTAAAAAAAACATATGACAGGCAGGCCCAAAAAAATTTAGTCGTTCGACCCAGAAAACACGACTAGTCGTGACTAGTCGCTCGAGTCGCTCGACTCATCCCATGAGTCGAGTCGCCAGGCTGAGTCAACCCTGCCAGTGCGACTCATAGACTAGTTGCGACTACTCGAGCGACTCAAAAACAGAGACATCATCCAAAGTTTCGGAGAACATACATACCTTGTGATAGAACAATTGACGGACTGCGGCGCTGTCAAGAGGATCCAACTTGCATAGAGTGTCTTTATTCCCTGAACAATAATGAGCAACTGCAGCATTTGTCGTGGTAACGACTATAGTGCAGCTATGTTTAGCATTACCATCATCCCATAAGCACGACTTCACCTGATCCCATTCTTCGTCTGCTGACAGCCCATCGAGGACTACTAGAGATCTCCCTCCTTCCATGAGCTGAAGAATCTTAGTCACCAATTTGTCACCAGACATGTTACTGGTGCGACTTACAGAGTCTTGCCTCCCTCCTGGGGAGCATGCAAGGAATTGTGAAATTATGCTTCGTAAGAACTCCTCCTGACTGAAAGGACGCATCATGGTGATCCATGCTAGCATTTCAAACCTCGTAGACATCTCTAGGCTATCGTAAATAACTTTCTTGACAAGGACACTCTTTCCGATACCACTAGCCCCGTACACGGAGATTGGGTAGCAGTCAGGACCATCCTCTAATATCCTTCTAGTTAAATCAGCAACTTCCGCCTTCCTGCCAACCAACTCTGAGTATGGCTCTATTTTTATAACAACATTTGCTTCATTAGTGGTGGCAGCCTGAAAACAAGACATATTTTGCAACAAATTGTTAAGTAGATTTCTCCAGAAAGGACAACATAAAGCAGTTTGCGAAACGTGATGAAAGATAAGCTAAATCAAAATTTTCCATTCTGTATGAGGATGCAAGCATAAATAAGCTTGTTGATTTTCTTGAAGAATCTTTAAGTGAATTTTAGATTTACATAAAACTGGGTGGCCCGAGTATTTGCACGGCTAGATCTTTTATACACTATTACCATTTTGTTGGTATTAGTTCCTAACTTTCACCTTTTTTTTATTCAATTTCTCTTGATGGATATTTAAATTTATAAGAAATGTTTAATGCAAAATAACCTTGAGAGAACTCATTGGATGTTCTTGCATATTTTATTTTCTTTAAGCGTAATGGAAGCTCATTATGGAAATAGGTCTTTATTTGGAAACATAGCTTCAACCTTCTTAACCTTATCTATATATGTATAATTCTCATTAGGTTGACACTAAGTTTGCCGATTGATCATTTGGTTCCATCAAGGTGCACAAGAGCCTTGAGGTGTATCAAATGCCAATAAAAACCAATCGTAAGTATTAAAATTTACACCATTTGATATATATGAGTAATCTTACATGTACCATACATAATGTTATTTTATTTTAAAATTCTTATTTCCCAAAACGTACTGAAAAGAAACAATTGATGGGTTGATCAATGAAATATTTAGAGGTGGTAACATAGCCTTTGTCAATTGGGTGGTACATTGTCAACTCCATGACATGAAATCCAAATAAATAATACTGATTTTATTTTTGTTAGGAAATGTTATATTCGAATTTGAAATATGGTTTGCCCGTTTCTTCATGAACTACCAGTTTCACGATTTTTTGTTATTTTAAGGTTGAAAATGAGAAACATGCAACTTTTGGCTCTCAGCCATCATTTTTTCTATCGGCATAAACAAATTTAACAAGCTAGTGATTTTTTAGAAGAGTTGTTCGGATACATAAACAAGAACAAAAATAGAAATGTACAAAGCACATGATAAAATATTGCTGCAGATTGAACGGGCTGGTAACATCTTGGGTATACTGAATGTTTGTTAACTTTGTGAAATCTTGTCTGTCCTTTCTTCTACTGCCATAATAATAATAATACAATAAAACATATCCAACAGCTAGCTAACCAGCATGCAGTGGAGTGTAGCTTGAAGTGAGCAAATCTGCCAGAAATAACACTGAATTTTGGGAGTTGAGAAAAAGGCCAATAGCAGATACCTGGTTGGAAGAGACGTAAAGCTGTGCGTCATTATCTGAAACTCCTTCAAGGGTGAAGGATCTGCTCAGCCGCCCAGCGCAATGCCTCGCCACATCAGCTCTCTGAGATGATACTATGATCCGGCTGCCATTCATATGATCCGGGAAGAGGATTTTGATCCAGTCCCACGTGGGCCTCGCGCATACATCTTCAATGATGACCAGGTACCGCTTCTCGTCAAGGTGGTTTGCTACCACCATCATCAGCTCCTCGGTCCCCATCCTCTCAGTATCCCCGAGGAAACCGAGTGTGCTCTGCGACACCGGCGGCATGCAATTGTTTTCATTTGCCAGGAGCTGCCTCGCCAAGCCCCGCAGGAACTCGGTGAGGCTGATGGGGTGGGTAGCCGTGACCCATGCACGGCACTGGAACATCTTGGCATCGTCATAGACTAGGCCGATGAGAGAAGTGGTGTCTCCATTTCCGATGCCTGCCATTGTCCATACAGAGATTACCAATAGTGATTCATCGGGCCACGCAAGCAGCTGGCCAAGATCAAACTTGTGGTCAATATCCGTTGCCAGCCGCGCCTCCTCTACCAGACTGACCGGTGGCTTCCTCAATGCCGCCATGAAGCGGGCGACTTGATAGCGCTCCCTCCTCTCACTCACGCGATTAACTTGGGACACCAAGTCCTTGAGCTCGGCGGCGATAGAGTGCCGTGGAGCCAGAGAGGTCCACCGGAACCTCCACAAGGACGGCCTCTCCCGGTGAGGGGCGAGCTGCAGGAGGCAGTCTTGGATGTCGCATGCCATGTCCCGGATTTTGTCCACCCACCGCCGTGCCGGTGCCTCCTCAGCATCACCGCTCGGATCCATCTCTCCACGAGCCTCCTCATACTTGTCCACATCTGCAAGGAACTTGTGCATCTCCCCGAGCTCTTCCGCCAGGATCATGGCGTCCTCTTGAACGCCAGCCTGCAAGGCCATCTCTTTGGCGGCACTTGATGTCGCCTCCCTTGCCAGGCACTGGCAAGCGGATTTGAGTAAGCACAGGCACGCACCTTCCATTGCTCCCCCGACCGCCCGATAGTGCCCTCCTCAACGGCGGCGTCCCCAGCTCCTCCTCCGGCGGCGCAGATCCCCACAGGGGTTGAGCCCGGCAGCGCGCGACGGCGCGAGCAAGGAGGCAAGAACGGCGGCGGCCGCTGGCGGAGAGGAGTGGACGGAAGGAGAGTGTGAGAGTGGCGGCTGTGATTTGGGGGGAGGGGAAAGCGCCCTGCAGCTTCGCCTTAACCCTAGCGCGGGTTGGGCCGTGCCTTTTTGGGCCACGCTGGGCAGATGACAGGCCCAGGAGATAAGTCCTTCCATCCATCATTGCTCTCGACACAGACCTACGGCCGGAATCACTAATTGACAAGTACTTCTTCCAAAGATATCTCTCTCCTTGATAGGTTGCGAAGAGATTAACGTTTTATGAAGAGATTAACGTTTTGGGTCTTGTATTTCTACACAATATGTTCCTCTTTGAGAGATTCATGGGAGTCTTGAAGAAATATGTTCATAACCGTGCTAGGCCAGAAGGAAGCATCTCGAAGGGCCATGAAAATGAGGTCATTGAGTTTTGTATTGACTTTATTTCTGACCTTAAGCCGATTGGTGTTCTTGAATCGCGGCATAAAGGCAGACTGGATGGAAAAGGCATGCTAGGAGGGGATCAAATAATATGTATGGACGGGCATTCTCTCACTAAAGGATACTACACAGTTCTACAGAATTCCGCCTTGGTGGCTCCGTATATGGAGGAACACAAGAATTTTCTACACTCGAAACACCCGGAGAAGTCTGACGACTGGATTACACGTGGACAAACGAGGACTTTCGTCGGTTGGTTGCAGAAACGTGCCATGCATGATGGTGATATTGAAGATGACCTGTACTCGCTGTCCCAGTTACCATCTTTGAGTATGATGACTTTCAAAGGATACCAGATAAATGGGAATACATTTTACACGATCGCCCAAGATAAGAAGAGCACTAACCAAAACAGTGGTGAGCTTTGATGCAACAACCAACACGGAAAAAGAAACATATAGAGGACATATGGGAACTTAACTATGGAGGTGGTTTGAAGGTCCCTTTGTTTCGGTGCAAATGGGTCAATATGACACTAGGCGGGGTAACGAAAGACCCACAGTATGGAATGACAACAGTGGATCTCAACAATCTTGCTTATGCAGATGAACCATTCATCCTAGCCAATGATGTGGCACATGTTTTTTATGTGAAAGGCATGTTTAACAGGCCGAGAAAAAGAAAAGATAAGGAAGCGAATGGATCATACGACGAGCCAAAGCGCCACATAGTTCTTTCAGGAAAAAGAAACATCGTGGGAGTGGATGACAAGACAGACATGTTAGAAAATTATGAAAAGTTTGATGAAATTGCTCCATTCGCAGTGAATATTGACCGAGCATCCAGTTAAATGATGAAGATTTTCCATAGCTACGGCGCAAAGGGACACACGCGAAGAAAAAGTTTTACACCCAAAGATCTGGGATGTGATCGACTTCACTATCATCTGGGATGGGATGTGATCGACTTCACCTAGGAGGGAATCTCTGTAATAGTTAGGGTAGTTATGTGTTTTGGCATTTGAAACGTGAAGAAATTTTATGTGCAAACAAATTCTTTCATGCATTTACTGATTTTTTCAGCTAAATGACCCTGAAATTGAAAAGCATTTCAAATGAACTCAGAAAAGATTGAAAGTTGGCATGGTATCATAATTTCACCCACATAGCATGTGCATAAAAATAGAGAGGGTTACGGCAAAAGTTGGATGCACTTCGTGTACAAAATGGACAATCTCTTTCGAAGTATCAGGGTTTCGGACGAAAACTCATCTATTACACATACATTTCATTTTTTAAATAACCTAAGCATTACCAAATTGAATATAATGATAAAACACACTAATATTAACATAAAAAGAATCACTGAAAAATCTATTTTTAAAGTTAAGTTATTCACAAACTAGTGATTCACACAAATTTCAAATAATTTAAAATTTAAACTATTCAAATTTGAAAACTACCGGCACTAACAGAAAGTTTGTAATTTTTTGTACCTAAAGCAAAAATATTCACAAAGAAACTCTAAATACAGCAAAAAACAACTAAAAAAGCAAAAACAAAGAAAATAAAAAAGCCCGCCTACTGGGCCAGAGCGGCCTGGATACGACTAGAAACCCAACGTGTTGTTGGGCCAGGATGCAAGCCGGCAAAGGCCCAGTAGGCCCACAGGGCAGCAGAGAATAGGTAGGCCCAGTAGGCCTGCTTTGGAGAGGAGCTCGAGAGAGCTACCGCACTAGGGCTTATAAACCAGTGCGGACGCCCCTCGGCTAGCGAGGTGGGACTAAACTTGCCGCACCGCACATGTGCCAGCGCACCCCTTTAGTACCGGGTGGTGGCTGCAACCGGTACTAAAGAGGTGGTCTTTAGTACCGGTTGGTGCCATCACCCAGTACTAAAGGGGGGGCGCTTCCCACCGCTTGGCCTGGCCAAAATAGACCTTTAGTACCGGTTGGTGGCTCCAACTAGTACTAAAGGTCCATCCTATATATACAACACTTGAAAAAAATTCAGTTTCCCTCTATTTCTTCATCTCCGTCGATGACATGTTGCCTGCCCCGATCGACTCCGTCGCCGCACCCGACGCGTCGCCGCCCCGGCCGTCACCGCCCCCGTCGCCGCCCCGGCCGTCCCCGTCCCCGTCGTCCTCGTCGCCGCGCCCTGCCCCGTCGCCGCACCCCACCCCGGCCCGTCGCCGCGCCCCGCCCCATCGTTGCCGCCCCGCTCCATCGTCGTCTCGTCCCGTCGCCCCGTCGTCACCTCGCCGGTGAGCTCATACCCCGTGTTGGGGATATAACTACTGGGTGTAAACCGCCCAGGAGGGGCCGGTTCACCTTCAACTACATTGAAGCCCACCAAGACCCAGAAGATGGCGCTTTCCTAATGAAGCTTAGAGGCCCGGAGCCCAAAGGTGGATTAGGGCCCATAGTGGTAAACCGCCATGGTTATGTAACTTGTATTGTAAGTTAGGAAAGGAGAGACTGAGCCGGACACTTGTATGAGTCGGCCTCGGGACTCTGTAGACCGGCCGGGCGTCAACCTGTGTATATAAAGGGACGACCCGGCGGCGGTTCAGGGACAACAGACAACAACTCGAGAATCAGGCAAAGCGTATTTGCTCCCTGGTCATCGAAACCCAATCAATTCCATCACAACTAGACGTAGGCTTTTACCTTCATCGAAGGGGCCGAACTAGTATAAAACTCCCGTGTCCCTTGTCCGGTTTAACCCCTTCAAGCTAACCCGTCGCGATGGCTCCACGAATAAGTCCTTTCATGAGGACATCTGACGTGTTAATTTCACGACAGTTGGCGCCCACCGTGGGGCTATCGCACAATGGTTTCGAGTTCTTGAAGGGCAGCTTTGAAGGACTCAAGGGGTACGTGGTCGACCGGATGACCAAGAGTCGTCGCGGCAAACTCTACATCAACGACGAAGGATGGGGCCCCGAGGCCGGCTCAATCGAGTACGGGTACCGGGTCCCCTTTGGCAGAATTCATGTCTTCATCGGCAAGATCGGCGAACCGGGCCCTGAGCCGGACACCTACACCGACCTCATCGAGACGGCTCAGCATGCGAGTCCTACCCGGGTTAAGCCCGCCATGAAGCGTGTGTTCGTAGGATGTGTCCATGCGATCGGGTCTGAACCGGTGTCTGAAGGCGAGACGATTGTTTATTCCGATGGCGAGTCATCCACTGGTGAAACCGAGTCCCTGTACCGAATTGATGATGGTGTGTTCGAAGGATATTCCAATGGCAATAGTATTCTGGACCTCCTTGAACCACCAAGTCGGGTTGCTGTTTTCATGGCCGGAACACAGCCCACTCTGCAATCTTCATCCACAGCGGCAATGAATATCGGATCAGCGGCTGTGGCAAGAGGCCCGGCGCGCCGACCGGCTCAAGTCCTCTCCGGTTTGATGGATGCCTGGGCAACTTTGTTAACCACGACAGTTACCCCGGAGACGCAGGATGAGTATAATGCGAATATTGCGAAGCTGAAGGACCAGATAACACAGGCTAAGGAGGACCTAGCAACTAAGGACGCTAGGTTGGCTAAAGAACGGGCCGCTTTGGATGCCCAGTCACAACAGATACAGGCGCAGAATTACCGGCTCATGTTGGATCAGAATGCATCAAATGATGTAATGTGGAGAAAGTATTGATCACGTATGCCACCAGCCTTCGAGGGAGTAAATCTCTTCAATACGCCGGGGGCTGGGCCGAGTAATCCGGTAGCCACAAACCGGACCAACGCGCCGAGGGCAGCGCCGGATCAACCACGGACGATGGAACCACCTCGACGAACAGATAACCCGCTGCAATATGTGTCAACGCCACCAGGTCACTTTTCGAGCCCTTTGGATAACATGATTGCTGCAGCATCTTGCCTGGCAGCTATTCCGATGGAGGGTGATTCACTGGCAGCAATTGAGACGCGGCGGGCCAGAGATCTTCTTCAAACCGCCGTGGTGCAGCAGCAGGCCTATTCCTATATCCAGGATAGAATTCATTCGACTCCCCGTCCGAGCAAAAGTTATAGTAGGCACATGGATGAACTGGAAGTTTCTAGCAGTGCGTGGCGCCGCAATGTCCCTCAGGGGCCCAATCCGGCGCATGGTGAGGTAAATGCTCAAGACGTGGTGGATAATGGCAGAGCATGAAGGGAGGCCGCTTTGGCAGCACAGTATGCGGGTCGTTATCAACCCGCCCCGATTCAGCCTGCGGCGTCAGTAGACCGTGGTACCGGGTTAGCCTTCAGTTCCTAGGGAGTGCCTTGTCTCATTCCGGCTCTATGTAATGTGCGACTACCTAAAGATTTTGAGGGTCCACGTAAGGTGCCGAATTACACTGCTGATCAGCCACCTGAGGCGTGGGTCGAGAGTTATGAGATGGCAATGGAGATGCTGGATGTGGATGAAGCAGCTTGTGCAAAGT